AATGAAAGTCTTGTCAGAGGAAGTCTTGCCAGATGATCTCCTGTGACAAAGGTTACGGAACTGAACCTAACAGTTCTTACTCTGTGGTTGTAAAACTATTGTGAAATAATAATAATAATATTACTGTAGTAATAATAATATTATCATTATTACTACAGGTACCTAGACGTCTTCAAAACGGAACCTTATAAATGCCTTTAGTCAGTTCATGATCATCTTGGTTTTGGTGCCTACTTTGGAATGTGTGCAGCCAGCACCACAGGGGCAGTAGTCCTACGGAACTGTCTGCATGAATCGTCTAAAGGCCATATTCTATCCCTCAGAATGGTTTATATACACGATCTAATGACCTGTAACAGCCTTAGCTGGAGACTTCAACAGGACTTTATCAAGTATTTTACTGTGGGAATAGTAACAGAGCTAGGGGAGGAGGAAGAAGAGGAAAAGGAAGGTCATAAAAGAAGTAAAGAAGAGACGAAGTTAAGTATTGACGGAATGTCAATCATAGGTTGTAATATAGCCACTAACCAGCATTAGAAGAACGCAAGTCAAGAATTTGTCCGAGAGAGCAGCGCCTACACCAGTGCTCAACACTGGACCACCAAAGGTCATGGATTATTGTTCAAGGTCTCTGAGATGGGGAGGTGGGAGGAGAGAGAGAGAGAGAGAGAGAGAGAGAGAGAGAGAGAGAGAGAGAGAGAGAGAGAGAGAGAGAGAGAGAGAGAGAGAGTCTACTGTAAACCTCTCCTTAGATGGAGTATGGCACCAGTGACTCTTAGCAATACTGCAAGCACTCTGAGTCTCTGGACCTGCGTTACACTTCCTTAGTGACTACCTTTACTGTAGAGTAACTACAGTAGTTAGACTTGTTCAGCTCACATACAGACAGTCAGATCTCAGGCATGCATGGGTAAAAACACTGGGCAATTTCCAAATTCCTGTTGCCCCTGTTCACCTAGCATTATGTAGGTACCTGGATGTTAGTCGACTGATGTGGTTCACATCCCAGGGATGGTAGTATACCTTAGATAGGGCTGGGCTTTCAGATCTGATGAGGTAGGATAACGGATCTTATCCTGTAAAATTGACATGTTAAAAAAAATGGTGCCACTGTTCCATATGGAAGTGTTCTTGGTCCACTGTTATCAAATATTATTTCAATAACCTACTTAATTTCATCGCAGAATCTCATGCCTATGCTGATAACTGTACTCTGACATTTACTTATGCAAGAGAGCAAATAACAACCGCTCCCAGCCCCATCAATCACCAGCTTACAACATAATAAACCTGGGGAAAGCGATGGCAGGTAACAATGATTCCGAAAGAATGGAATTAAATGGTATGGTGAAACCTGCAAGACGTGGAAAAATACACTCTCACACCACTTTCTTGGATTGCCTGCCTCCCACCTCGTCAACTCCTTATGGACAGAATAGCGTACCGTACTGTGCAAGGTAACTTGTCTCTCGCCTGGACCTGGCCTGGATGTATCTATCCAGCCGAATCTTCAACACTGTTATGTACTCGGCCAACACTGTCAAAGCTCCGCTTGGCTCCACTTTGCGAAAAACCAGAAGACAGCCTCTATGCCACAAGATAGGAGCAAGCAACAACTATACTCTGGCTGTAACCTTCTCAAGATCATCACTTCATCTGAGATCAGTCATTCCTCCAATAACTCGAGTCGAAGATATTTTAGCACACTACAGTATAAACATTAATAAAGTAAAGTTAGCTAACAAAATGAAATCTCTGACCCACAGCTGGCTTCAGTTTCGTCCTGTTCAATATTTGTACCTTTCACAATAATAATATTATTAGATTTAATAAAGATAATGCAAGAAATAATGTAGGTAACAATTAGTAAATAATAATAATAGAAAAAAAAGTATAATAATAAATAATAATAATAATAATAATAATTAATAATAATAATAATAGATTTAATAAAGGCAAGAACTCATAAACTAACCCTGACCAATCCCAGGAGAGGAGAGGAGAGATAATGAATGTGATATGAAGTGTGAGTCCTCACCAGTGATGCTTGCAGTTTACACGGTGATTGCTACAGGGTTGTCAAGTGAAAAACAAAACATGGGAATAGAGTTTCAAAGTGTGTTAACAGGAGGAAATTGAAAAGGAATGCTGGAATGGACAAGGAAGGCGAGGATAAGTAGACAGAGAAGGCATGAATGACTGGAAACCAGGCTGGAAGTTGTATGATGTAAATGCATTTAGTTATCAGAAACACAGCTGGAACAAGTGTAGAAGCCTTCAAGAGGAAACTGGGCAGGTATCTTTACCAGGTGCCAGATCAACCAGGCTGTGATGGCTATGTGGGGCAGCGGGCCTCCAGCAGCAACAACCTGGTAGATCAGTCAAGCACCAGACGAGCCTGGCCCATGGCCGGGCACCGGGAATAGCTAAACTCTCAAAATTCTTCAAAGGTATATCAAAGGTAAAGGCTGTGTCTGCAGGTTGGTCCGGGAAACAGAATCTAAATATTATTGCATTGATAAGGAAGTGCCAATCCCATGAGGGGTTATCCAACGCTAGGGAAATGTGTGACAGTCCAGTTTGATCCGAGGAAGGGGAGAGAAGCTGCAGTTTCCCGGATACAGACGCTATCACCAGCTCCAAGCCTTCCCTCCATGAAAGGTTGAATGACATTGTAATTCACAGAATAAATTAGGCAACGAAAGTTGAAGTAATGGTGAGGAATTTGTGGAAAGAAGTTAATCCATAGACATAAAAGTGTTGTGTCAGAGCAGAGTGGTACCGACTTCTCTGTGGGTTGTGAAGCATAGTTTGTTGTATGGTTGTGAAGCATAGTCTGTTGTATGGGTGTGAAGCATAGTCTGTTGTATGGTTGTGAAGCATAGTCAGTTGTATGGTTGTGAAGCATAGTCTGTTGTATGGTTGTGAAGCATAGTCTGTTGTATGGTTGTGAAGCATAGTCAGTTGTATGGGTGTGAAGCATAGTCTGTTGTATGGTTGTGAAGCATAGTCAGTTGTATGGGTGTGAAGCATAGTTTGCTGTATGGTTGTGAAGCATAGTCTGTTTTATGGTTGTGAAGCATAGTCTGTTGTATGGTTGTGAAGCATAGTCTGTTGTATGGTTGTGAAGCATAGTCTGTTGTATGGTTGTGAAGCATAGTTTGTTGTATGGTTGTGAAGCATAGTCTGTTGTATGGTTGTGAAGCATAGTTTGTTGTATGGTTGTGAAGCATAGTTTTGTGTGGGTGTGAAGCATAGTTGTTGTTGGTGTGAAGCATAGTTTGTTGTATGGTTGTGAAGCATAGTCTGTTGTATGGTTGTGAAGCAATAGTTGTTGTATGGTTGTGAAGCATAGTTTGTTGTATGGTTGTGAGCATAGTTTGTTGTATGGTTGTGAAGCATAGTTTGTTGTATGGTTGTGAAGCATGTTTGTTGTATGGTTGTGAGCATGTTGCTGTATGGGTGTGAAGCTAGCTGTTTTAAGGTTGTGAAGCATAGTCTGTGTATGGTTGTGAAGCATAGTTTGTTGTAATGGTTGTGAAAGCATAGTTGTTGTATGGTTGTGAAGCATAGTTTGTTGTATGGTTGTGAAGCATAGTCTGTTGTATGGTTGTGAAGCATAGTTTGTTGTATGGTTGTGAAGCATAGTCTGTTTGTATGGTTGTGAAGCATAGTTTGTTGTATGGTTGTGGAAGCATAGTTGTTGTATGGTTGTGAAGCATAGTTTGTTGTATGGTTGTGAAAGCATAGTAGTTGTATGGGTGTGAAGCATAGTCTGTTGTATGGTGTGAAGCTAGTCAGTTGTTTGGGTGGAAGCATAGTTTGCTGTATGGTTGTGAAGCATAGTCTGTTTTATGGTTGTGAAGCATAGTCTGTTGTATGGTTGTGAAGCATAGTCTGTTGTATGGTTGTGAAGCATAGTCTGTTGTATGGTTGTGAAGCATAGTCTGTTGTATGGTTTTTGAAGCATAGTTTGTTGTATGGTTTTGTGAAGCATAGTTTGTTGTATGGTTGTGAAGCTTTTGTCTGTTGTATGGGTGTGAAGCATGTCTGTTGTATGGTTGTGAAGCATAGTTTGTTGTATGGTTGTGAAGCATAGTCTGTTGTATGGTTGTGAAGCATAGTTTGTTGTATGGTTGTGAAGCATAGTTTGTTGTATGGGTGTGAAGCATAGTTTGTTGTATGGTTGTGAAGCATAGTTTGTTGTATGGTTGTGAAGCATAGTTGTTGTATGGTTGTGAAGCATAGTTTGTTGTATGGTTGTGAAGCATAGTTTGTTGTATGGTTGTGAAGCATAGTCTGTTGTATGGTTGTGAAGCATAGTCTGTTGTATGGGTGTGAACCATGGTATTTTGGACGCGTGTTGCATGGTGTCTTGTACTGGTGCGAAGTCTGGGTGTGAAACACGGTAATTTTTCAACATTGCAACAAGAAGTAAGCTACCAGCAGCATCACATTGATACCACATACGCGAGATATGCATGTTGTGTAAATATGTTTATAATAAGCAACGATGATCTTAGAAACTTTTGGAAGGATACGAGAAGAATTAACTAAAAGATTGTTTTGGCCATATAGAAAGACTGAAGATAGATTGATTAAGATTGCTCAGAACTTTTCCTGTACGTATGGAACCACCAACAGACCCCATAGTTATCTTCAAGAGGAACTGTGCAAACTAAAGTTCCTGATTAGCCAGGCTGTGGTGACTATATTGGACTTCATGCTAACACCAACAGCCTGAGTGATCAGGTTTTGTCTGAGACAGCCGCGGGGGCGACGGCCCTAGGAACTGACAGCAGGTAGTTCTTTCTTGGTGGGCAGAGGACAAAAATAATTAAATTACTTCTGGGAAAATATTTATCATTCTCACTGAGGCCGTTGTCGTATTTTATTTTGTTAAATAATAGAGAAACTCGCAACAAATTTAAATTCTTCAATGATAAATTTAAAATGCTTGTAGGGAAGTAATGGTTTGGTAATCAAAATGTGGAGGAGAGGAACAAACTGTCAGGAGAGAAGGTTAGCACTCCCCTTGATAAGGACGGACAACACACATACTGTCAAGGCACCGTCGCTACGGCGACACCTGACACATTTTTAATGAGGCCTGGTCACAGACCGGGCCGCGGGGGCGTTGACCCCCGAAACACTCTCCAGGTAAACTCCAGGTAACATAAAAAATACATTAAAAAATAAAAATAAAATAGGCTAGATACACGAATGGTCACGAATGCTCATATTGTTGTTCGTCTGTAGTGCCCATCAGGTCTGTCACTTCCCAAAGACAGACGTGGAGGAGAGACGGATGATGGGAGAAAGTGGGGATTGTGGTAGACAAGGAAGGGCTGGAAAGGAGGGAGGAGGGTGGGGAGAAGGAAGGGGGGAAAGGAAGGAAGGGAAGAAGGGAGGACGAAGCTGGAGGAGTAAAAAGGAGAAAGGGAGGGAGGGTGCAGGAGTGGAAGAGAAGCAGGGGAAAAAAGGGAGGTGTGGTGGCCAGGCTGTGGAAGGACCAACAAGGACAGCTGGTTGTCGAAATATATATATACCTTGAACACTCCAAGGTCTACTGGACACACACACACACACACACACACACACACACACACACACACACACACACACACACACACTAGATAAAGCCTCTTTATATCCTGGCTGATAAAAACTGCCACTTAATATTATTATTCTTATTGTTATTATTATTATTATTATAAATAGAATAATAATGCTGAAACAGAGTTTTAAGAATTTCCCCTTAACCATATTATTTGTTTTCCCAAGGTATGAATATCAGTGAATGACACCATAGATACATTATATATATATATATATATATATATATATATATATATATATATATATATATATATATAATATATTTATATATATATATATATATATATATATGAAACCACGAAACAAGTGGTTTTGAATCATTTACCAAACTGCAACCGGCCAGGATTCGATCCCACGATACATCGTCCCGCCTCAAGAGGTCACACAATGGACAACGGGACAATGTGTCGTGGGGTCGAATCCTGGCCTTTCGCAGTTTGGTAAATGATTATATATATATATATATATATATATATATATATATATATATATATATATATATATATATATATATATATATATATATATATATGTATAAATCGCTTAAGTCTCACATTTGCGTTTAATGTTTATAATTATTTCACAAAATGAGCAAACTTAAAAACTCCAGTGAACTAAACACTTTATAAAAGTTTGGTGGAAAAAAAGCCATCATGATTACATTTTTTATTCAAATGTTTGTAATAAAATAAACAACTCATTGTTTGCTGTGTCCACTGACACAATGACATTTAAAAGGTTATATTTTAATATATATTTAGAATATCATATTGATGGGGAAGCACTAACCCTGTGAGAGCATTACGGCCCCTGGGGAACGAGAGGTAAGGAGGTTTGATCCAAGGGAGGGGAGTGGCAGCTCCAATGCCTGGGATGAAGAGCCCGTCGTCAACATCAAGGCATCTACTTCAAGGGGTCACAACAGATTGTTCCCCTATTTTCTTTATATTTTTTAGGTGGGTGTGCTGATGCTGAAGGGTTCTTGATACCAGGCACTGGAGCTGCCATCCCTCTTCCTTGGATCAAACTTGATTATGTCTCATTCCTCCTGGCGCTACATGACCTCCACCAGGCAGGATAACATGTTACCCATATCAGGCAGGATAACATCGTAATTATACCAGGCAGGATATCCTGATTATACGAGGCAGGATAGCATCCTAATTATACCAGCCAGCATAGCATCCTAATTATACCAGGCAGGATAGCATCCTAATTATACCAGGCAGGATAGCATCCTAATATACAGGCAGGATAGCATCCTAATTATACCAGGCAGGATAGCATCCTAATTATACCAGGCAGATAGCATCCTAATTTTTACCAGGCAGGATAGCATCCTAATTATACCAAGCAGGATAGCATCCTAATTATACCAGGCAGGATAGCATCCTAATTATACCAGGCAGGATAGCATCCTAATTATACCAGGCAGGATAGCATCCTAATTATACCAGGCAGGATAGCATCCTAATTATACCAGGCAGGATAGCATCCTAATTATACCAGGCAGGATAGCATCCTAATTATACCAGGCAGGATAGCATCCTAATTATACCAGGCAGGATAGCATCCTAATTATACCAGGCAGGATAGCATCCTAATTATACCAGGCAGGATAGCATCCTAATTATACCAGGCAGGATAGCATCCTAATTATACCAGGCAGGATAGCATCCTAATTATACCAGGCAGGATAGCATCCTAATTATACCAGGCAGGATAGCATCCTAATTATACCAGGCAGGATAGCATCCTAATTATACCAGGCAGGATAGCATCCTAATTATACCAGGCAGGATAGCATCCTAATTACATCAGGCAGAATAGCATCTTAATTAAACCAGGCAGAATAATATACTAGGAAGGATAACATCTAAGTATAACAGGCAGGATAGCATCCTGTCCTATACTAGGCCGGGTTAAAATTAAAAGAATTAAAATTAAAAGAATCAAAACTAAAAACAAAGTCGAAACTAAAAGAATCGAAACCCAAAAGAATTAAACTGCAAAAGAATTAAACTGCAAAAGAATTAAACTGCAAAATCAGTGGTAGCCACACAGCCTCCGCTTCGCAAACTTTTAACCAACTTTACGAGATGACGAACGTGATGGAGGAAGAACGATGGAGAGGCAGGTAGAGGGAGAGTAATGACAGGTGTAAACGATGTAGGGAGGAGACGAAAGAAAGGAAACTCATGGGCAGAGGTGAAGAACATAGCAGATAAACGAAGGAAAAAAGAAACTTGTCATACCTGCGTACTAAGTGGGCGAGACTGACCGTGATCTCTGCCCCTCTTGTTTTGTTTATTATACGTTCTGCCATCTCTTTGGCGTTAATGTATATTACAACTGGTTAAAAATGGTTAATTGGTAGATAAGATATACAGTAAATGCAGTATAATGCGGCCCTTTATTGATATCGGTTAACTGACATCAACTTAACCTAAACAATGAATGTCAAGAAACGAAAATAAATATCGCAATACCGTCGCTGGAACAATTTACAAAAAAAAAAAAAAACTTTCTTTAGAGAAGAAACGTTCGAAAGCGTTTCGCTCCGTCCTGGACTACATTGGAGTCAAAACGACAACTTGTAACTTGATAATGATGCAGGACAGACCGAAACATCGAAAAAAGAACTCACTGCAAAGTGGGAGGAACGCGAGTGTCGGACCTGGCCACTCGATATAGCATGGCGAAATTCACCATATCGTCCTATTGAAAAATAAAGACGCAGTAGAAGAGGCTGATGTGGCGAAAGACGTGAAGTTTCCTCTCTAAAGAGAGATTTTTTTTTTTTGGTAAATAATTCGAGCCACGGTATTGCGATATTTGTTCTCGTTGTTTCTCGACATTCGCTGTTTAGGTTAAGTTAACGTCAGTTAACCGTTGTTAGTAAAGGATAGCATTTTATTTCATTTGCCGTATGTCTATCCGTCAATTAACTACTTTTAACCATTTATATTATGCATTAACTCCAATAAATGTTGATGCATAAAGGCCAGACTATATGTTGTGATGAGGAAACAGAAATAGTTGAACCACTGAGATGACGAAGAAACATGAAAGTAACACCTCCACACTCATAGTTCATTGTCACAGTCGTGTTACAGATTAAAGTCACAATAAAATACCTACATTTGCTGACTACGATCTGTTTCTGTCACCTAACGTTGGCAAATTTCCATGTAATACACGACTGAGTACATTTACTCGTATATCTGGGAGAAATCTGTGACTGGCTTCGAGAGTTCTACTTTCTAAGCTTGGCATCATCAGGACTGATGAAGGTACCAGGTAGGTTTGCCAGGACGGGTCTTGACCCGGGGCTGTGGTCTGATGAGACTGTTTTGTGGGGAAATATTTCCTCTAATGAATGCCTTAAACGGTACACAAATGTCTTTTTCACAGCTTGTTGATATCACCATGCCATTTATAACTTTATGTTGAATGCCCGGTCAACTAGGCTATTGTTGCCAGCGGGCCGAAGGCCACAAGCGGCTGGCTGAGCAGATGCTCGTAACAGATAGAGGTCTAGGCTTCTCTTGTTATCAACATGAAATTGCGTTGCTAGGTTAATTAATTCTCTGCTGTTAGAATACACAGTTGTGACCTGAGGTCTCACAGTCCGGTTTTCTTGTTAACGGAATGGTCAATCAGGCTGTTGCTGTTAGCGGCCAGCTGGCTTACACAGCCATCGGTAGATTAATTTTGCTACAAGCAAAGGCTCCTTATACGCGCAGAAAGGTTATTAAGAGCACAAATTTAAACTGCCACTTATTACGAACATTTTTTCCCAGTCTCTCTATAAGTCGTCTGATCACTTTCTCTGAAGTATTATTCACTTGTTTACTTTTTTTATTGCCACTACCAGCGATTAGTTTGTTGTACAACTGCAACTCATCCTGTGAGAAGTAGTTTGTTGTGCACCAGCAGCACATCCTGTGAGCTGCTGAGTTTTCTACAAGGTCGTGATTTAGAGAGAGTTTAGCCAAGGTATCAGCTGTAATGCATGTACCTGGATTATTATTATTATTATTATTATTATTATTATTATTACAACTCTGATTTCTCAGCTCAAGAGTCATTCACCAGCATCCAGGGATCATGTATCAGGAGAGCAACGAGTGAGGGATTCCACGAGAGATCTTCTTGAATCTGTCAATTATGCATTAACCTTGTCTTCTCCCTCGTTGTTCTACCCCCCATCACTTCTTTCAGTAACTACCACCGTCACCACTTCCCCCATCAACAACCACCACCATCACCACTTCCTCAACCACTATTCACCACCATCATTACCACTTTCTCCAACAAACGCCTCCACCAGGTTCACCTTTGCTATCCACCATGCCATTATTCCAGCCTTACTCCTACTACATCTTCCCTCACTACTACCATCACACCTACCATTATCACCACACCACCAGCACCTCAAAACACACAACTTACGAGTCGGGCGAAAGAAATTTTGTTGTTACAG